CGCGTCAGGGGCCGCGGCAGGGGCCGCGTCAGGGGCCGCGGCAGGGCCGCGTCAGGGCGCCGCGTCAGGGGCCGCGTCAGGGCGCCGCCAGGGGCCGCGGCAGGGCCGCGTCAGGGCCGCGGAAGGGGCCGCGGCAGGGGCCGCGTCAGGGGCCGCGTCAGGGCCGCGTCAGGGCCGCGGCAGAGCCGCGTCAGGGCCGCGTTAGGGGCCGCTTCAGGGCCGCGGCAGGGGCCGTAGCAGGCCGCGTCAGGGCCGCGTCAGGGGCCGCGGCAGGGCCGCGTCAGGGCCGCGGCAGGGGCCGCGTCAGGGCGCCGCGTCAGGGGCCGCGTCAGGGCGCCGCCAGGGGCCGCGGCAGGGCCGCGTCAGGGCCGCGTCAGGGCCGCGGCAGAGCCGCGTCAGGGCCGCGTCAGGGGCCGCTTCAGGGCCGCGGCAGGGGCCGCGGCAGGCCGCGTCAGGGCCGCGTCAGGGGCCGCGGCAGGGCCGCGTCAGGGCGCCGCCAGGGGCCGCGTCAGGCCGCGTCAGGGCCGCGTCAGGGCGCCACCAGGGGGCGCGTCAGGGGCCGCGATAGGGCGCCGGCAGGGGCCTCGTCAGGGCGCCGCCAGGGGCCGCATAGGGGGCGCGTGGGAGGCGGCGTAGGGGCCGCGTAGGGGCAGCGTAGGGGCCGCTAAAAAAATTTTTAGGGCAGGGCGCAATGTGCGCGGGCAGCTAAAAAAAAAAAAATTCTTATGGTGGGCCCTTAGGAAGGAACGGTCCCATGTAGGAACCCGCTCTATACCATGTGAATCAAGAAAACAGGACATGAAATGACTAAGTGAAAGTTGGGTACAAAAGGCAAACCCTAGGCAACTGTACCCCATATGTGCTACCCCACTATAGCCTACAGTAGCTATGTCATATAACTCTGACACAAAACCATTACACAAATGCGCGGTCGACTTCGTGCGACCTTTGCGTGGTGGAGCTCCTGGTGTCCCTGCAGCCTCGTCCTTTCCGTCATCGCCAGGGGTTATTGGCTACCATGGAGCCACGGCCCACCACAACCCTTCCACGATCGCAACCATGTCGGGGCAAACATGCATGCTACGTTCACGCGTACCGCTATCCAAGAACTCCTAGAGACCGGAGCAGCAGTCCAGATGCCCGCAACGGAGCTGATGTGTATAAGTCCACTCAATGTGGTCGAGCAAAAAGACAAATGCAGACTCATTCTTGATCTGCGGAAAGTCAACGCAAGCTTAATCGTCCCCAAGTTCAAGTACGAGGGGCTCAACCGCGTGGCGGACCTGGCACGCGTTGGGGATTGGATGTTCTCCATTGACCTTAAATCCGGTTACCACCACATCGACATCCACCCATCATGCTGGAAGTTCCTCGGCTTCGAATTTGGGAGGCGCACGTACGCATTTCGTTCACTGCCATTTGGCCTCGCGACAGCTCCATTCGTCTTCACGCAGCTCATCAAGCAACTGGCTCGACGCTGGCGAGAACAAGGCATCCGAGTCATCCCTTACGTGGACGACATCTTATTCCTCTGTCAGTCGAAAGACCATGCGCAAGCGATCTGCCAGCGTGTGATATTGGACCTTAAAGAGGCAGGACTCGTGATAAACGCGAAGAAATCACAGCTGTCACCATCGCAACGCCTACGATTTTTGGGTGTAGAGCTGGAAACCGATACCGGTCGATTCTCCATCGGTCCCGACCGACGAGCCTCACTACATGCAACCATCCAAAACCTCCTGAGCGCAAGCAAGGCATGCCGACCAGTCCCGGTCCGCCACGTGGCCAGAATCACAGGCATGCTCGCATCAATGGGGGTCGCACTTGGCGCGACCGCTCGCGCATTCAGCCACGCCATGTTACAAGTAATCAACGACGCACCGTCATGGAAAAGCAACGTGGTCATCCCCCCAGCCGCAGCAGAGGAGCTACAATTTTGGCTTGAGGAGTTCGACCGGTTCAACGGTGCACCTTTCCACGTCCGGAACAGCTACGATGCGGTAATTCATGTGGATGCCAGCTCTCATGGTTGGGGCGCCACTCTAACTACATTTCCGGGTGGCCTCGAAGAAGCGAGCGCAACCATGTCAGAGCCACTACAGGCAACGTCCAGCACGCGGCGGGAGATCGAAGGCGTCCTTTGGGCGCTCCAAACGTACGCCAACAAGATCAAGCAAAAACACGTTCTCGTGCGGGTGGACAACCAGGGCGTATTCTTCATCCTTCGCAAAGGCGGCTCTCACAGCTCTGACCTCACAATGGCTTGCAAAAGCATCATCCGAACATGCATGGGGCTCGGCACGCGCTTGATCATTGAATGGATCCCGCGAGAGCTCAACTCACATGCTGACGAGCTTTCAAAAATGGTCGACCACGACGACTACGCGTTGAAGAAGCCGTGGTTTCGCATCTTAGAACGTCGTTGGGGTCCGCATTCCATCGACCTCTTTGCAAACTCTCACAACACCCAACTCTCGCGCTTTTGCACCAAGATCCCCCACCCGGAAGCCATCGCAGTTGATGCATTCTCGATCGCATGGACAGCCGAAAACAACTTCGCCTTCCCCCCACCCCAACTGGTCCCAGCCGTCCTCCACCATGCACAACGCACCCATGCATCACTCACATTAATAGTCCCGCACTGGCCAGGCGCAAGTTGGTGGCCACTTTTGCAACCCTCCCTATGTACTTGGGCTCCACACATCCACGCGCACATCTCTCTCACACACGGAAGCCAATGCCTAGATACAGGGTCCCATTCTACTGCCTTCTCGGGCACGGGACTACCGCTATCATTGCACTGCGAGTGGTATTTGACTAATGCATATTGTCCACTCCTGTGTTCAGATTTGCTCCCAAAGTTACACGACCAACTGATCAAAATGCTCGCGCAGTCACGCGCCGATTCTACGATCCGGACATACGAACCATACTGGGCCAAGTTTCGAGCATTTTGCACAAAAGTGGATCTCTCCTTTCTTCCAGCTTCCGACATGACACTCGCACTATACCTGGTTCACGCAATCCGACGCAAAGCCACCCTGTCCGTAGTGCAGCTGACGTGCTCGGCAGTAAGCTTCGCCCATCGCATGACTGGGAACAAATGCCCAACAATCGGTCCGTTTACCACCCAAGTCCGCGACTGTGCAAAACGACACTGCCCCCGCCCTACTCGTCTGAAGGAACCCGTATCGATCCAACAAGTCCGCGACATGGCCGGGAGTTACCTGCAGTCTGACGACCCTGCGGAATTTCAGAAAGGGCTGATCCCCATCCTCATGTACTCAGGATTTCTGCGATACTCCGACCTAGTGGCCATACAATGGCAAGACATCCAATTCGACGAAGAGGTCATGTGGATCCTCATACCACACTCTAAGACCGATCAGGCCGGTCACGGAACATGGATACCCATTGCAGCAACGACAGACCCTTGTTGCCCAGTGCGCTGCACCCGACGCTTCATCCAACTCGCCGGCTATGGTCCTCAGTCAGAGGGACCGTTGATTCGTGTCTTCGGGCACGCTTCAAGCAGCAAAGGCCAAGCGAAGCCGCCTTCATACACTACAATTCGGAACTGGTGTAAGGAAGCTTTCGCAAAAGTTGGTCTGGGAGAGCTGCAGCTCGGCACTCACTCTTTCCGAAAAGGCGCGGCCACAGTAGCAGCCAACACTGGAGTGCCAGACAGAGTCTTCAAACGGCTGGGCAGATGGCGAAGCGACACAGCTAAGGAAATGTACGTCACGCCATACGTCGAGCCTCTCATCACAGCATCCCGCAACCTGCAAGATCCGACGCAGGCGGTGTCTTCGGCGCAACACACAGAGGCGCTCGTACGCCATAGGAGGCCCCCGCTGCCCATGTCTCAGAGACCCCAGTTGTAATGAGAACGATGCCAATTGATAAGAATAAGAAAGCAAGCTTTCTCAATATTATAATTTTTAAACACACATTGTGTTTTTTAAAATTGTGTATTGTGAAAGCGAAGCTGCTTGTACTGCACAATTGGCATCGTCGAAGCGCGCTAAACGCCCTTCTCCAACTACAAAAACCGTGGGTTGGAGCTCATTTCCCTCCACCCACGTTTCTCTATTTCAAACGGCTCACTCAACATCCCCACCACCCACCCCAGCGTAGAACGCCTTGCTAATGCCACTTGGATAGGGTACATCTTAGCTAGTGATATTAGCATGCACTAGCTTGTGTTCAATCTCGATGCAAATGTTGTAATAAGCCAGTTGTAATGAGAACGATGCCCAGTTGTAATGAGAACGATGCCAATTGATAAGAATAAGAAAGCAAGCTTTCTCAATATTCCATTTATCGTTTCCATCCGGTCCTATCCCATTGTGTTCGTCGCAGGCAAACAAGATCCAGCGGCGGCAAACCCCGCAGCATGGGCGCAGCTGCAGCAGCTCCCCCCGTCCGACCGCCTGCACACGGCGGTGCTTCCCAAAAGCGGAAGCTTGCAGGGCGTGGGTGCGCGGACGGACGGCGGAGAGAAGGGGGCGGCGGCAGAGTTGGCGCAAGTGGACTTGCGCGCGCTGAGCCACGCGCAACGGGAGCGGCTGGTGGAGCGCGCGCTGGAGACGCTCGATCAGGACAACGAGGCGTTCCTCACGAAGCTTAAAGCCCGCCTCGACCGGTGAGGTTTCTCTACGAGGTCCCGGAAACAGCGTCACAGCGGATCCACGGAGACGCTGGCAGCTGAGAAGCCTGGAGTCGAGCAGCGTTGCGCATTTATTGAGAGAAGTTGCGGAAATTACGTTGACGGGCTGGAGCGCGATCAACCACGTCATGAGAGGATGTGAAGTTAGATCTCAAAGGAGTACACCGGTTCAGAGAAGTACAAAATGTGTGCTTTTGTTTTGCGCCATGCTGTGCGTAATCATACCTTCCCTCCTTCCTCTTCCCTCCCCTCGCCTCGCCTCCCCTCCCCGCCCCGCCCTTCCCCCTCCCCCGTTGAACCGCGCCGCGCAATGTCATCCAATTGCGAGCAGCGTGGGGCTGGCCGTGCCGGCGGTGGAGGTGCGCTTCGAGGACGTGCACGTCGAGGCGGGCGTGTACGTCGGCACGCGCGCGCTGCCCACGCTCCTCAACTTCACGCGCAACTCGATCGCCGTGAGTCGCGCTCGCTCGCCGTCCGTCGCGTGAGTCGCGCTCGCTCGCCGTGAGTCGCACACGCTCGCCGTCAGTCGCGTGAGTCGCAATCGTTCGCCGTGAGTCGCACTCGCTCACCGTGAGTCGCTCTCGCTCGGCGTGAGTCGCATTCGCTCGCCGTCAGTCGCGCTCGCTCGCCGTCAGTCGCGTTCGCTCGCCGTAAGTCGCACTCGCTCGCCGTAAGTCGCTCTCGCTCGCCGTGAGTTGCGCTCTTGAGCGGGTCTCCCTCGCCCCCTCATTTCATGGCGGCTCTCGCTTTTCGCGGCCGCCTGCGTGCCTCCGCGTTTCACTCCCTGATCCGCCAGTCCGACTTTTACAGGCTTTCAGATTACTCAATAGTCTTCCCCCTCTTCCCCGTCACCCACCCTCTACCCTCCCCAACCCTTCCCCCTTCCCGTTCCTACTCAGGCCGCGCAGCAATCACTGGGCGTAGCGCTGGATGCGCGCCGCCCGTATCCGATCCAAAATCTTCGCTTTGGATCTTCCTCTTCCCCCTCACCCACCCCCACCCTCCCCAACCCTCCCCACCCCCGGTTTTTCCTCAGGCCGCGCTGCACTCACTGGGCGTTTCGCTGGATGCGCGCCGCCCGTATCCGATCCTGCACGGGTGCTCGGGCGTGCTGCGGCCGGGCCGCATGACGCTGCTGCTGGGGCCGCCAGGCGCCGGCAAGTCAACGCTCTTGCAGGCGCTCGCAGGCTGCCCCGATAAGTCGCTCAAGGTGCGTCTTTGTAACGGGGATTTGACTGAAGGCTTCATCGCGCAAAGGAATTGGCACAAATTTGGTCGCCGACGATCTCCCTTCTAGAAAGTGTCCAGAAAACCACAAAAAGCTTCAGAAATTAGAGTTTTTAATCTACCCCATACTAGTGAGTCTGGGCCTACGTCGGAAGTTACGCGTTTAACGTATTATACGCGGCCTAAAGTTCGCATGTCCGGGCAGAGAAAACGTTTTCCCGGGAAGGGGGGGGCATTTCTCCCAGGGGAAATGCGGGATGAAGGTGGTCCCTTTTCTGACTACGTCCTGCCTTCGCGTTATCTAAGGTCCCTACGGCGGGTGGCGAAGCAGGTGGAGCAGACATCAGTGCTAGTGGATAGTGGGAACAAGACGAATGCGGGATTGAAAGCTAGAAATGACGACTTTAGGGTTGGGCTGGCTGGTAAGTAGCGCGAGGTTTGCTGAGACCGCGTTTTGACGGGTTGGAGCTGGTAGATGGAGTGGGATTCAATGCGATACAGTCGTTACTTTGTCCGCAGAAAACTTTGAAGCCACATTTCCACCGCCTGCTAGACAGCCGATTTGCATTTCTAGTTCGGCGAAACGCTTAGTGGAAACCCGCGTCTTTATCACATTTGCGTTCTCTTTTTTCGGACAGCCCAATTTTTTTTCGTGTGTATAGGATATATCCGCGCTGTACGCTTGGGGGGCTGAACGTAAAGGCCAACGTGGGTCTGGGTGACCTACAATGAGGCTCAAAACCCTTAGCGCTTCTCCCCCTCCTCCCCTTCCCTTCCCTCCTCCCCCTCCTTTTCCCTCTATCACAGGTATCGGGCAGCGTGACCTACAACGGGCATGCTCTTAGCGAGTTCGTGCCAGAGCGCACGGCAGTGTACGTGCCGCAGAACGACGAGCACATCGGCGAGATGACCGTCCGGGAGACCCTCGATTTCTATGCGCGCCTGCAGGGCCCGGGGCTCCGCAAAGGTGGGTTGAGATGTGTGTGGGGGGGGTTATGTAGATAAAAAGTGGGTGTCTGTGTGTGCCGCAGACCCTCGACTTCTCCGCTTGCCTGTAGGGCCTGAGGTTCAGGAAAGGTGGGTGTGTGCGTGTGTTGGGAAGGGGAAGAATGGTGGGCTACTGGAAGGGGGTTGCGCTGTGGTTTAGGTTAAGGGGGTTGTGCAGACTCCTCTGCGTGCCTTGAGACGTCTCAAAACACTTCTTCAATCTCGGGTTGCGCTGTGGTTTAGGTTAAGGGGGTTGTGCAGACTCCTCTGCGTGCCTGCAGGGTCCGGGCCTGCCGAAATATGCGTGGGAAGGGGGTTTTCTTTGTGTTTGCATCCATTTCCCATTTCCGCTGGCCTTTTCTCCCCATCTCTCCCACCATTACTTTCACCCCACCCCACTCAGCTATCCCCATAGCCCTCCATTCCCCCTCTCCTTCCAAACCCTCCTGCCCCGACATCCCCTTCTCTCTCCCTTTCACCCCCACACCCCCTGGTGGAGCAGAGCTAGTGGCGGAGCTGGAGAGGCGCGAGGCGGAGAAGGGCATTGTACCAGACCCTACTATGGACGCCATTATGAAGGTGAGGTGCTGTCATGGCAGCATGAAGGTGGGTAGTGTGTGCGTGTGCGCTGTTGAACATATGGTGCTGTGATTTCAGCGTTGCTTTGGGAGAACATTTTCTCTTGTGTGGGGATTCACCCTGCTGATCTTCTGCTTGCCTTCCTTCACCCCTGGTGCTCCACATACCACGTGTCTTCCATCCCTTGCTGTCCAAATCACTATTAATCCTCCATGCTACTCCGGCCCCCATTTCACCTCTCTCCATGCTAGGCGATGGCACTGGAGGGCAACCCCACCAACATCATCACGGACTATGTGCTCAAGGTGAGGCTCATGGGGGTGGTGGTGAGGATGGTGGTGAGGATGGTGGTGAGGTGAGGCTATGTGCTCATTGTGAGCAGCCTATGGTGGTGGTCAAGCTCGTGAGCTCACGGATTCGGAGCAAGCTCAGTGCTGAGGCTTGTGCTGGTGGTCATGCTCTTGTAGCATTCTATTTCTCATGCTCATGGTGATGATAGGATAGGTGGTAGCATGTTTAGAAATTATCAGGTGTAAATGTTTCTGAAACGAGCTATTTCTCAGACTGTCTCACAGTCATGCCAAGTGGTCAAGTAATGGGAGGGTGTTTCACATGCCGCAAGCTGAACTCACTCTTCCTGCTCCCGCTGCTTTCCCTCCCCTTCCCTCTCCCCCCCATGTCAGATTCTAGGCCTGGACATCTGTGCAGATACAGTGGTAGGGAATAACATGCTGCGGGGCATCTCAGGCGGGCAGAGGAAGCGAGTCACCACAGGCGTGTCCCTCGTGGGCGGGCAGCAAGTCCTGTTGATGGACGAGATCAGCACGGGGCTCGACTCGTCCACCACCTTCCTCATCACGCGCTGCCTGCGCCACCTCACGCACCTCCACTCCGCCACCACGCTCGTCGCGCTGCTCCAGCCCGCCCCCGAGACCTACGAGCTCTTTGACGACGTGCTGCTGCTCTCCGAGGGCCACGTCGTCTTCCACGGGCCCCGAGAGCAGGTCGTGCCGTTTTTCAACCAGCTCGGCTTTGAGTGCCCCGAGAGGAAGGGCGAGGCGGATTTCCTGCAGGAGGTGACGTCAATGAAGGACCAGGGGCAGTACTGGAAGGGGGGAGTGGCTGGGGCAGATGGTGGGGCGGGCGGGAAAAGCCAGCCATACCACTATGTGCCGGTGCAGGCGTTTGAGGCGGCATTCAAGGAGACGCAGATCGGCAAGGCCACTGCTGCCCACCTCTCGGTACGTGCCACTGCTGCCCACCTCTCGGTACGTGCCAGGTGCTCATTTGCGCACGCGCACACTTTTCCGAAAGCCCCAGCTTGTATCTTAGCCCCACACCTCCTGCCATTTTTTCATCCCCCACTCATTCCCCATCCTTCACCCCCCCATTCCACCCCTCACCAGGTGCCCTACCCAAAAGAAAAGAGCCCCCCAGGCGCGCTCGCTCACAAGCGCCACTCCCTGCCAACATCCGAAATGTTCCGAGCAGTCTTCGCCCGCGAGTGGCTGCTCATGCGGCGCAACTCCGTCCTCTATGCCGCCCAGACCATCCAGATCATCCTCGTAGCTCTCGTCGCCATGACCGCCTTCTTCCGCACCACGCTCACCGTCTCCCTGCAAGACGCCAACTACTACCTGGGCGCCACATTCTTCGGCGTAGTGATGATGCTCTTCAATGGCTTCACGGAGCTTCCACTGGTCAACTTCCGCCTGCCCATCTTCTACCGCCAGAGGGACGCGTTTCTGTACCCCGCGTGGGCGTGGGCGGTGCCTCTCGAGCTGCTCTCCATGCCCTTCTCCGCCTGGGCGTCTATTATCTGGACCGCCTTCACCTATTATGGGATCGGCTTTGCACCGGAACCGGGCAGGTGAGCAGAGAGGCAAGCAAGAGAATGGGTGTGTCGGGATTGTTTCTGTGTTCTCCGTTTGGGCCTCCATCATGCACACCGCCTTCACCTACTATTGCATTGGCTTCGCACCGGAACCGGGCAGGTGAGTGAATGAACCGGGCAAGTGAGTGAATGAACCGGGCAGGTGAGTGAATGAACCGGGCAGGTGAGTGAATGAACTGGGCAGGTGAGTGAATGAACTGGGCAGGTGAGTGAATGAACTGGGCAGGTGAGTGAATGAACTGGGCAGGTGAGTGAATGAACTGGGCCGGTGAGTGAATGAACTGGGCAGGTGAGTGAATGAACTGGGCAGGTGAGTGAATGAACTGGGCAGGTGAGTGAATGAACTAGTTGAGTAGTTGGGTGTTGGACTCGTTTCCGCTATTTTCATTGACCTCCTCCACCCACCTTCACGTGACCTCCTCCACCCACCTTCACGTTCCTCACACGCCTTTCTCTTTCCCTCTCCTCCCCCACTCCCCCACACACGCCTCCACTCCTCCTCTTCCCCTCCCCCCCTCCCTCCCCCCTTCCTTTTCCCTTCCTCTCTTGCAGCCACTTGACACACACAGCGTCTTGACGTTCCCCTTCTTTCTCACCCAGATTCATCTTCTCATGCACCTTCCCCTCTTCCCTTCTCCGCTTCCCCTCTCCTCCCCTCACAGGTTCTTCATGCAGATGTTGCTCTTCTTCCTCATCCACCAGGTCTCCATCTCCCTCTTCCGCCTCATAGGAGCGCTGGGCCGCAGCATGGTGGTGTCCACCACCTTTGGCTCATTCGCCGACATCCTCTTCGTCCTCATGGGCGGCTTTGTGATTGCAAAAGGTGAGTGAAGGAAGTGGGAGCGCTGGGGCGCAACATTGTTGTTTTCACCACCTTTGGCTCGTTCGCCGACATACTCTCTGTCCTGCTTAGTGGTTTTGTCATCGATAAAGGTGGGTGAGGCGCGCTTTAAACGTGCCCCTGTGAGCGGCAGTGGGCCGCAGCATGGTCACGGTCGGCATGTTGGCCCTGTCACGCTTCTCACGCTCAGGCCAATACTTGAGTGTGTGAAGAGTTGGGTGGCTAGCTTGGTTACCGCATGCTTGGAGCTCAACTGCCCTTTCCTCCCCCCTCATCACCCACATCTCCCCTCATACCCCTTTGTTCACATACAGATATCCATGGCATATGTATCCATGGCATATGTATCCATGGCATATGTATCCATGGCATATGTATCCATGGCATATGTATCCATGCAGACTCAATTGCCTGCACCACTCATGCCGCCCGCATTACTCATGCCTGCGCTCTGCTCTCCTCTTGCCTCCCCTTCCCGTCCCCAGCTGACGCCCATGATGAGTGGAACTGGGTCCAGCTGCCGTCCCTTCATGCACGGCCTGCAAGCCCCCTTCATTCCACTCTCCTCGTCGTCTCTCCACGTTTTATCGCTTTTCGCCCTCCCACTGAATACCCCCCCCCCCCCCCCCTCCCCCCCCCCTCCCCCTCCCTCCCTTTCCCCTCCCCCACCCCAACCCCCTTCCCCCCGCCCCCCGGCTGCCCTCCGTTACAGCGGACATCAGCAATGTGTGGATCTGGGCCTACTGGATATCGCCTCTCATGTACGCACAGAATGCCCTCGCCGTTAACGAGTTCCTCGCGCCCCGCTGGAACGTCGTGAGTGCTCCACTGCTCCTGGGGTTCCCGTCCACTCTGCTACGAGCGTTCATCCAATTGCCCTCAACTGTTGAAATGCACACACACACCCCTGAGTGCACGCATTTCTGTGTGCGCCTGCCTGCAGTCATGCCATTCCCCATGCGCCTTCGTAAGTGCCGTTGGAGAACTGATCACGTGTGTGTCCCTAACGCAATCACAGTCCTTTCTCCTTCACCTCGCGTTTCCCCATGGCTCAAGTACAGCTGCAGAGCACCTCACGTATTTCCATCACCCCTTCTCTCAGCCTCCTCCATTCCATTCTCGTGTGTACCCCATTGCCCCCCATGTTTACCGATGCATCCCCATCGCCCCCCATATGTACCCATGCATCCCCATTGCTCCCCATATCCCCATTGCTCCCCATATGTACCCATGCATCCCCATTGCTCCCCATATGTACCCATGCATCCCCATTGCTCCCCATATGTACCCATGCATCCCCATTGCTCCCCATATGTACCCATGCATCCCCATTGCCCCCCATATGTACCCATGCATCCTCAGCGCCCCTCCTCTCCTCGCTCCCTTGAGTGCACCCCTCTGCAGGGTTCAGGCCCACTCTTCCCCCCCACAGCCACCATGGGGCAGGGGTTTTGGGAGAGCCGCTCATGCATCCCCGATCGCCCCTCATCCTTGTCTCCCCTCCCTCCCTTTTCTCTAGTGTGTGCCCATCCCTGTGCAGTCCGCAGGTCCCCTCTTCCCCCCCACGGCCACCATGGGGCAGGTGTTTCTGGAGAGCCGCTCGATCCCAGCGGATGGCAAGTGGGTCGGCATTGGCGTGGCGGCACTCATCGGATACATCATCCTCTTCAACCTCCTCACTGTCGTCGCGCTCGCTTATCTTGATCGTAAGCTTTCAACACTTACTCTCCTCGTTCCTGCTCTCTTGCCTGCTCTCTTGCCTGCTCTGCTCTCGTGCCTGCTCTCTTGCCTACGCCCTTGCCACGCAGGCTTCTTGCTTGGATCACACTCGCATCACCTACCACTCGCATCACCTACCACGCGCATCACCTACCACTCGCATCACCTACCACTCGCATCACCTACCACGCGCATCACCTACCACTCTTCCCCAAGCACCGTTTCAACCTGAGCCCTTTATCGGTTGTGCTGCTCTCTCCCCCGTGCACCCGTCCATGCTGCATGTGTGCAGCGTGGGACCGGCCGCAGCCGGTGGTGTCGGAGGAGCAGATAGAGGCGAAGCATGCCGCCCGCACAGGCGAGGTGGTGGTTGCAGCGGGTGGAAACAGAAAGCGGTCAACGCGGCAGGATGCTGGCAGTGCTCTCGACCGCTACTGCACCAGCCACACAGGGAACCGAGGTGAGGGCCTTCCAAAAGTTCGGAACTGACTCATGAGGCGCAGGCAGGGTAAGGGCAGAGGCAGGGTCCAGCATCGCTACTGAACCAGGCACACTGGGGCCAGAGGTGAGGGCTTGGAGAGCGTGAGGTAGAGGTGAGTGTCTCACAAGTTACAGTCTTGCAGGGCAAAGGGAGGACTGGCACTTTGGACTGCAACTGCACCAGCCACACTGGTTTGAACTGCATGCTACTGCTGCTGCTGTCCTGCACGACCTTTTCTGAACCAGCTCCCGAATCGCCCTCCCCCCTCTCTTCCTCTCCCCTACTTCCCCCCTTTTCCAGACGTGGAGTCACAGCCCGAGTCCACGGAGGGCAAGCACGGCATGGTGCTGCCGTTCGCGCCGCACTCGCTCGCCTTCCACAACGTCAACTACTTCGTCGACATGCCCGCCGAGATGCGCGCCGAGGGCGCCCCCCCCGACGCGCGCCTGCAGCTGCTGCGCTGTGTGTCGGGCGCGTTCCGCCCCGGGGTGCTGACGGCGCTGGTGGGCGTGTCGGGCGCGGGCAAGACGACGCTCATGGACGTGCTGGCGGGGCGGAAGACCGGGGGGTACATCGAGGGGGACGTGCGCGTGTCGGGCTTCCCCAAGGTGCACTCCACGTTTGCACGCGTGGCGGGGTACTGCGAGCAGAGCGACATTCACATGCCGCAGGTGACGGTGCACGAGAGCCTGCTCTTCTCCGCGTGGCTGCGCCTGCCGGCTGATGTGGACGTGGAGGTGAGGGAGGAGTTTGTGGAGGAGGTGATGGAGCTGGTGGAGCTCGATATTCTGCACGACGCCATGCTGGGGCTGCCGGGGGTCAATGGGCTCTCCACGGAGCAGCGCAAGCGCCTCACCATCGCCGTCGAGCTCGTCGCCAACCCCTCCATCATCTTCCTCGATGAGCCCACCAGCGGGCTCGATGCACGCGCGGCGGCCATTGTCATGCGCACGGTGCGCAACACGGTGGACACGGGGCGCACGGTGGTGTGCACCATTCACCAGCCGTCCATCGACATATTTGAGGCCTTTGATGAGGTATGCGCTGGTTGGGCATTGGGATCGTTTCCCAGGCAATAGGATCATTCCCTAGTTTAGCGGAGGGCTACAGGTGCGTCCTCAGGGTTATGGGTGTTTTATTCACCATACAAACATGCCCTTTTAACCCAATCGGTGGCAAGCTTTACCAACCTGGTATCAAAGTTAAATGTTGTGGGTTTGAATCTACGTGTGCACTATGGAAGCTGCCTATGGTCCAATGGCCTTAGCCTACCCCTGTGAGCCAGAGTGTTGAAGGAGCACTGAGAGCGGCCTAAGGTTTTGGGTAAGGGTTACAGACAATGATGGTCTGGGGAATTTGGGGTGCACGCACCCGACACCTTTAGCTTAGTTGTTAGAGGCGAAGGTATACCAAAAAATTGTATCAGGGGCAAAGGTCTCGGTTTCAAGTCCCAGTGTGCTCCAGTGGGCAGCAGTGCCCTAAAGAGCCCAAGTGAGGAGGAGACGACCCCAGTAAAGGGAAGATTGTTGGTAGATACTGGAAACTTTCGCCAACTGAGTGCGGGAAGGCCATAGGTGTGTTGGGAGGTTGTGGGTATGCTATCCGACATACAAACAGGCCCTTATAGCCAGCCAGTAGCTGGCTGGGTCAAGTGTGGCTATGGTATGCATGGTGGTGTTGTGTGGACGTCGATTTAGCTTCTTACTCTCCATTTCCAACTCCTTTTTTTCCCCATCTATTCCCCTCTGCCCTCCCATCTCCCCACCCCTTTCCCCCACAGCTGCTGCTGATGAAGCGGGGAGGCGAGGTGATATACATGGGCCCCTTGGGCACGGACTCGCGGCTCATGATAGACTACTTCCAGGCCATCCCAGGCGTGCCGCCCATCCGCGCCGGCTACAACCCGGCCACGTGGATGCTCGACATCTCCACGCCCGCCATGGCCGAAAAACTCAACCTCGACTTCGTCGACATCTTCCGCAAATCAGACCAGTTCCGCCGCAACGAGGCGCTCATCGAGTCGCTCAAGACGCCCCCGGCAGGCCAGCAGGACCTCGCCTTCGCCACTCAGTACGCCCGGAGCTACGCGTCGCAGTTCACCGCCAACCTGTGGAAGCGCGCGCACATGTACTGGCGAGCGCCGGACTACAACGCGATGAGATACTTTTCCAGTGTTGTCATGGCGCTGCTGATCGGAGGCGTGTACTGCGGGCAGGGGCAGCAGCGCAGCACGCAGCAGCAGGTGCTGAACCTGATGGGAGCCATGTATACGGCGGCCATCTTCATGGGGTGGAACAACTCCGCCTCCATCCAGCCCATCGTCGGCGTCGAGCGCACCGTGTTTTACCGCGAGCGCGCCGCAGGGCTGTATGGTGCCATCCCGTACGCCCTGGCGCAGGGGGCGATTGAAGTGCCGTATGTGTTGGTGCAGACATTCATCTACTCACTCATCACGTATGCCATGATCCAGTTTGAGTGGACGGCCGGCAAGTTCTGGTGGTACACGCTCTTCATGTTCCTCACGCTCTTCTACTTCACGTGCTACGGCCTCATGGCCATCGCCATCTCGCCCAACGAGCAGATCTCAATGGTCTTCTCTAGCTTCTGCGTCTCCTCCTGGAACCTTCTTTGCGGTTTCCTCATTGCTCGACCCGTGAGTGCTTTCTCATCACTCAGCTCTCTGTTTTCTTCTGTGCTTCCATCCACTACCATGTCCATATTTTGCCTCTGCCTCGTCCTTCCAGGATAGATGTTGCTTCCTGGGAAGTGCCACCTAGTTCACCTGGGAAGTGCCACCTAGTTCACCTGGGAAGTGCCACCTAGTTCACCTGGGAAGTGCCACCTAGTTCACCTGGGAAGTGCCACCTAGTTCACCTGGGAAGTGCCACCTAGTTCACCTGGGAAGTGCCACCTAGTTCACCTGGGAAGTGCCACCTAGTTCACCTGGGAAGTGCCACCTAGTTAACCTAAAATTAGCCATCCGTTTGCAACCCTCTCCTGCCCCCATGCACTGCAGCACATCCCGGTGTGGTGGCGGTGGGCTTACTGGATCGACCCCATCTCCTGGACCCTCTATGGCCTCAACGCACAGGTGATGCCCCTTGCTCCACAAGCGCTGCACACACGCTGCACACGCGCTGCACACACGCTGCACACGCGCTGCACACACGCTGCACAAAAGCTGCACAAGTGCTGCGCACATGTTGCATACACACTTGGCTTGGTCATTCTTGGTCCTACTTTGCAGCATCCAACTGCTTAACATGCATGCAGCACATGCTGACATGCCGAGCTGCTCATGAGTTGACTTTTGAGTCTACTCAAAAGTGAACATGCTTTCATGCCGAGCTGCTCATGAGTTGACTTTTGAGTCTATTCAAAAGTGAACATGCTTTCATGCGGAGCTGCTCATGAGTTGACTTTTAAGTCTACTCAAAGTCAACACGCTTAGGGCATGTTCCTACGCTCTTATCAGGCAAACCACTTGTCAGCCTTGCCTGGTAAAAGTAGCGAGGGTTTTTGGGTTTAGGGATTTTTCAGTGTGTTTTGACGCGAGCTTAATAAGAGGTTGGCCTGATAAGGGGCCGTAGGAACATGCCCTTACATGCCGAGCTGCTCATGAGTTGACTTTTGAGTCTATTCAAAAGTCAACACGCTTACATGCTGAGCTGCTCATGAGTTGACTTTTGAGTCCACTCAAAAGTCAACACGCTTACATGCCGAGCTGCCCATGAGTTGACTTTTGAGTCTATTCAAAAGTCAACACGCTTACATGCTGAGCTGCTCATGAGTTGACTTTTGAGTCTATTCAAAAGTCAACACGCTTACATGCCGAGCTGCTCATGAGTTGACTTTTGAGTCTATTCAAAAGTCAACACGCTTACATGCCGAGCTGCTCATGAGTTGACTTTTGAGTCCACTCAAAAGTCAACACGTTTACATGCCGAGCTGCAAATGCTGCTCATGCTGGACTGCACACTGCACTTTCCCTGCCATATGCACGCAGCCCCTGCATTGTTGTTCACTGCATGAGTTCCCTTGGCTGAATCCATGCTGCTTCACTACTCACCTCTATCTTCCCCTCACCACCTCACCAACCTCAGCATTTCTTCAATCACTCTGCACTGCCAGCCCTCCTAGCTTGCTCAATGCACAGCCCGCTCATCCCCCCTCCCCCTCTTCTTTCCTCCCTCTGCCCCTCGCTCCCTCCCGTGACCCCTTCCAACTACAGCTGGGAGATGTGACCACAACGCTGCAGGTGCCAGGGGTGACCCCGGACCCAACGGTGCAGGTGTATCTGGAGCAGGTGTTTGGCTACCAGCACTCGTGGCTTGGCTATGTTGTGCTCGTGAATATCGGATTCATCATCCTCTTTTTTACCGTCTTCGCTTTCTCAATCAAGAAGCTTAAAGCCCGGGTACAGCATGGTAATTTTCAAGTTCAAGATTCTTGAACTTGAAATCGCAAAAAACAGGGTTACCCTACTTGTTTTCAAGAAACTCTCGCAACCCCAGGCAATCGTCCTGCGACAACGGAACCCGAGTGCCCAAAAATAGAACTGACGCGATGATCGCCAACCATATGCACTGTTCACCACTCACATAACTTGCTTACCAAGTCGTACTCATAGACTAGGAGGCTCCAAGGCAAAAACTAGCGCTAGTTGGCAAAAGCGAGTCGTTGTTAGGGCTTTTTTTTTGTGCGGAAAAAAAATAGGTATCCACCTCAACCATCTTAGTCAGTGCACGCTCCGATTTCCCCCTCACGTCGCCGGTCTCGTGTTACAACCCGTTCACCCGCAGCACTTACGTTAGTGAACAATCGTCGCGTTACTCGCGCCTTGCTTTCAAGCTCGCGTCGCACAAGATGCTCTTTTCACACTTGCTGCGGTTCAGCCTCGCGTCCCGATCGTACCGTTTTAGGCACGGGTCGCTCACGCGAATGCCGTACAGGTTCGCCAGACGCGCGCTGCCGTTAGTCTCATATGTTCCCCCTCGTCGGCCGCTCTTTCCCACGTCATACCGCTTTCCTCGTCGCCCGCAATTTCCCTCATCTCCCTCGCGACCCTCGCCGCCCTCGCCTCTGCTTGTCGCCCGCGCTTCCCGTCGTCGCCCTTGCTTCCCCGTCACCCGTGCTTCCCGTCGTCGCCCTTGCTTCCCCGTCACCCGTGCTTCCCGTCGTCGCCCTTGCTCTCCCGTCACCCGCGCTTCCCGTCGTCGCCCTTGCTTCCCCGTCACCCGCGCTTCTTCTCATCTCTCGCTCTCCTCCTCAACGTCTTCGTTTCCCTCGTCGCCATAACGCCCTCGCTTCTGCCCGTCGCCCTCGCCTCCCCACATACCCGCCTCCATCTCCCCCACATACCACCCGCCTTCCTCCCCACATTCTATTCCGCTTGTCATACGCTCTTCTCCTCTTCCTCCCTTCCATCTCTCCCTCCCTCCCTCTCCCTCTCTCTATCTCTCTTTCTTCGAACCTCTCTCTCACCCTTTCTTCCACCCTTCTTCCTCCTGAGGGGAAGGGACTGAATGAGAGACACAGAGGGGATAGGACAGAAGGGTATGCAGATGTTCTTTTCCCCCACGCGCTTCCCCTCATCGCCCTCACTTCCCCCAAATTGTTGCCCCCTGTCTCTGTTTTTCCCAACCACCCGTTCTCCCACCAGCCCTGCTTCCCCCTTTGCCCTGATTCCTTCCACCCTCTGCCCTGCTCCCCCCCATCACCTTCCCTGCTTCCCCCCACCCTCTGCCCTGCTCCCCCCATCCCGTTCCCTGCTTCCCCCCACCCTCTGCCCTGCTCCCCCCCATCCCCTTCCCTGCTCCCCCCCACCCTCTGCCCTGCTTCCCCTCATCCCATTCCCTGCTTCTCCCCACCCCCTGCCCTGCTTCTCCCCATCCCCTTCCCTGCTTCCCCCCATCCCCTTCCCTGCTTCCCCCCATCCTCTTCCCTGCTTCCCCCCATCCCCTTCCCTGCTTCCCCCCATCCCCTTCCCTGCTTCCCCCCATCCCCTTCCCTGCTTCTCCCCATCCGCTTCCCTGCTTCCCCCCATCCCCTTCCCTGCTTCCCCCTACCCTCTGCCCTGCTCCCCCCCATCCCCTTCCCTGCTTCCCCCCATCCCCTTCCCTGCTTCTCCCCATCCCCTTCCCTGCTTCCCCCCATCCCCTTCCCTGCTTCCCCCCATCCCCTTCCCTGCTTCCCCCCATCCCCTTCCCTGTCTCCGTGTTACCCGTTTCCTTGTCCCTTTTCCCTGTGTCTCCCCACCCTCTGTTCTTATTCCTCCACCCTCGCACACCTTACCGCCTGCCGACCTTACCGCCTGCCCACCTTACCACCTCAAATCCTTCCCTTCTCATCCGCGCGCAGGTGTGGCGGAAGGTACACGTGCTGCCTTGTGCCTGCCGCTTGCTGTCCACGCCTTCCATCCCACCTCTCCCGAACCACGTCTTTTTCTATATGTGCCTCCCCTGCTGGCCCATACCCTCTGCTGATCTGCGCCCTATGAGGCCGTGCCCTCTCTGTTCCCCGCCCCTGCATGTACGGAGGGATTGGGAGCCGCTTTGCCTAGCAGCCAGCACTGTGCAGGCAAGGATTCGAACTGGTGGATCATGGGGCAAGGGTAAGGGAGTGTGTTGTGCGGCATGGTCAGTGCGGAGTGGCGTGGGAGGGAGGCAAAATGGCAAGCACAGGGTGAAGGCAGGCAGGGGCCATGGCAAAAATATGGAGATTGGCAGTGTCAGCAGGATGTGCGGCAGGATGCTGGCGGCAGCGCACGTTAGGGCATGTGCGGTGGGGCAAGGCTGGTCTGCGCTGCGGTGGGCCGGGGGAGTGCAGATTGGTGCAGGGAAAGGCACGACATGTTCCTATGTGGCCGGCCGAGACCCTTATGAGTTTAGGGATCTGAGCTTGAGAGTGTACGCTTGGAAATGTATTGCTAATGTGTTTCTTGATATGTAATTTTCATGATTCACAATTTGCTTTTCTATGCCAATTCAGCACTTAAAATTTTTATGTTATTCTGAAGTGAAGTCTCAAACTTATCCAAATATTTTAGTCGATTAGTAATCACAGGAAATATTGTTCAGTGTACTGCCTCACTCTTACTCGCGTGAGTTTCGCGTTCCCCACCATTTCAACCCCAAGAGAAGCGCAGTGTGCCCCACCAGTGCTGGGGCGGGAGCAGTGCTCTGTCGCACACTGGGTCGTTCGGCCCTCCCATATCCTCGGGGATAGCTGTCGCATAGTATCGTGGCGAAGACTGTTTTTCCCGCCTCCTGAATTCGGTTTCGCCCCACACACATTTTCGAAATTCACGATTTTCAGGTTTTCGCCTAACTGTTTCAACCCCACATAACTTGAAAAATTACCATGCTGACCTCGGGCTTTAACTTCCAAAACCGCTAATGTTGTACTGCAAAGAAGTGTGTTTTGTAGATGGTTTGTTTGTGTTGTTGTGTTTTATTTGTTTCATTTTTTCCCTTCTTTTGAGACTTGGGGGTTTTGTTGAGTTGTCAGCCGAAACGTACCGTGAGGCGTGCACTGTATTGCACAACCTTTACATGCTTCTCTACTCTGGAGACAATGCCTCTCTTTGAAAAGGCACACAGGAAAACAAAGCATGGGATGGGATGCTTGCTACCGTAACATTACAGTAAATAACAAAAGCACACAAAATCCACACTGAATACAACCCAACCTCAGCTCTGTTTCACAGGGCTTAGAAAAGCAAGCACGCACTAGCAAACATGATCTCCCGCGCTTCTTCCTGTTCCAAGCCCTATGGAACGCATCCTCTGCCTTCAGAGCAGGCAGAACTACAACCCCACACATGCCTCCACCCACCACCAACCTTCCAAAACAAAATGTCATGCGATGCGATGCAAGCGAGAAGCATGCGATGCGATGCGAACTCTCTCATGCTCACAACAGTATTCCTTGCTCTATCCAGCCAATACCCCCCTGACCCCTCCGCTCTCACTACTCTAGCCTCGTCCCCTCGTCTCCCACTTAATCCCACTCCCCCCCCCCCCAACTAGTCATCATCCTCATCCCTGCCGTTGCGCAGGCACTGCCCCAGAGGCACGCGCCTGCCCGGCCTGCCCATGCGCCCCATGCCCAGCGCGCAGTTCACTCCCTGCACCGCCCCCCCCGTGCACCGGAAGGCATCGGGGCGCGTCACGGCTGCTGCCTGCCCCCACCCCCTGCCCACTCGCAGCACCAGCGCCGCGCTGCCCTGGCTTGCCTTCACCAGCCGCCCTGACCCTGCCCCCGCCGCACAGGCGAACTGCGGGCGCGAGAGTGGGGTTTGGGAGAGAGGGGCGAGAGGTTGGGGAGAGAGTGGGTTTGGAAAGGAGAGAGGTGGGCAATGGGGGAGAGAACAGGGCGAGGGATTGTTGTCAGAAAAAGAGCGGCACACAAACAAAGGTGCTTGCAAAGTGGTGTTGAATGTACGCCAGTGGTGCTTGCTTCTCACCTTGTAGTTCTTGCCGCGCGCCTGCATGCGGGAGTAGGGGCGGGCACCCTTGACGACGTGCAGCAGCAGCTGCTCCCTCAGCATCAGCGGGTCCCCTCGCACTGAAGGGGGCAGCTGCCCCATGGGCGCGTCGGGGATGGCCAGCAGCGTCACCCCGCCCCCCTGGCCGCACATCACCTCCGGGAACTCCGCCGCCAGGCCTGCCAGGGTGGGGCATGGTGGGGCACACGGGGATGGCAGGTGAGAGGGCAGGTGAGAGGGCAGGTGAGAGGGTAGGTGAGAGGGCAGGTGAGAGGGCAGGTGAGAGGGCAGGTGAGAGGGCAGGTGAGAGGGCAGGTGAGAGGGCAGGTGAGAGGGCAGGTGAGAGGGCAGGTGAGAGGGCAGGTGAGAGGGCAGGTGAGAGGGCAGGTGAGAGGGCAGTTGAGAGGGCAGGTGAGAGGGCAGGTGAGAGGGCAGGTGAGAGAGCAGGTGAGAGGGCAGGTGAGAGGGCAGGTGAGAGGGCAGGTGAGAGGGTCAGCAGCATCACTCCGCGTGCACACAACACATCCGCCAAATCCGCGGATGGTGTGAGGCATGGTGGCGCACATGGAAATGGCAGGTGAGATGGCAGGTGAGACAGGGAGAGGGAGAGGGAGAAGGAGAGGGACAGGGAGATGGACAGCGCCAGCAGTGGCGCACAGCGCACCTGTGTGCTGCAGCGCACCTGTCTGCTGCAGCGCACCTGTCTGCTGCAGCGCACCTGTCTGCTGCAGCGCACCTGTCTGCTGCAGCGCACCTGTCTGCTGCAGCGCACCTGTCTGCTGCAGCGCCGCCGCGAACTTGTTGAATCCGCTCTTCCGCAATCCGCTCATCAGCTTCCCCGCCTGCTTCGCCCCGTCACACGCCTGCACGTCCACGTCAGCAGCCGCCACCGCAGCATTCGAGCTCGCCATCACCGCGTTCTTCCGCCCGCTGCCGTCGCAACTCGCGCTGCCGCTCTTGTTGCAAGTCCCCGTGCCTTTCTTCCCCTGATTCCCCCTCCCAGCGCCATTGCCGCCGCGACCAGCGGGGTTGCCGCCGTTCTTGTTGCCGGTGCACGTGCCGGATTTGGCGCACGAGCCGTCGCGCTTCCTGTCCCGGTCCTGGTTGCCCGTGCCGTCCCGCTTGCGATCCTGATTGTCGGCAACCGAGAGGCTGACGAGGAGCATTGCGAGGACGGCTATAACGAGGATGTTCTTCGGTGCCATGGCTGTTCACGTAGGTTCAAGCGGTATAGGGAACACCGAGAGACTCGAATGGTTGAGTACGAAAAAGAAGCTTGGGCAAATTGAAGTGACTGGAGCTTGTTGCTTGAGTTCATATCTGCTAATTCCCAATTCGCTATGCATTTTGTAGGCATGCGTTCAAGGGCACGCGTTGCCCTCGGACCGCGGAGGTGCGAACAGGAGACGAGACGGATTGGCCCAGACTTGTCGCCCTCGAGGCGCAGGCGGTTCGGGACGAGAATGGTCCCGCAAACGACAACGCTTCAGGCGAAAGGACAGAGCGACTAGCGGCGGAATACAGCGGCGGAAGGAAGTCGCCTGCGAAAATACTCCTAGACCAGTACACTTCACAGCAATAGAGACCGACAGAGGGGCCTGGCCTGGGGGAGGCCGACTTGGTGGTGATTCGACTATCCAGAAAAAGGAGTGAAGGCGAAACGGCGGGCTGACTGGTTCTTGGAGGGCTTGGAATGGAAACACAGGCCAGACCTGCACACCACACAGGAGCCTCTCAGCGGGGGGAAATGTGTGGACGGTAACCATTATGGGCCACTATAACGTGTACAGTAACTATTACAGGATATTTCACATGTTTGATAACGCGCTTCACGCGTTTCGTAACTCTCTTCACACACTGTAAGGAATTTTCCCGAATTTTTTATCGGGGTTGACTACTTCGTGTCAGAACCATATTGTAGGCTGTAGTGGGGTTGACAATATGGGGCACAACACTTTTAGGTTTGCATATTTGTACCCACCTGTTTCCTAGTTCATTCATTCCTCGTACTATTTTCACATGGTATAGAGCGGGTTCCCTAGTGGGACCGTTTTTTTACGGCCCACCACTTATTTTTTTTCCTGCCCTGCCCGAAGCGCGCTCCTGCCCCTGTCGCGCGCCTCGCGCCTGTCTCACCTGCGCCCCGTGCGCCTACCCTGCTGTCGTGGCCCTTGCTGTCGCGGCCCTGTTTGGAGCCGTCGCGGCCCTGCCCTGCTGTCGCGGCCCTGCCGCCCTGCCGTCGCGGCCCTCCCTGACGCCGTCGCGGCCTCACCCTGCAGTCGCGGCCCTGCCGCCCTGCAGACGTGGCCCTGCCGCCCTGCCGTCGCGGCCCCACCCTGCAGTCGCGGCCCTGCCGCCCTGCAGTCGCGGCCCTGCCGCCCTGCAGACGTGGCCCTGCCGCCCTGCCGTCGCGGCCCCACCCTGCAGTCGCGGCCCTGCCGCCCTGCAGTCGCGGCCCTGCCTGCCGCCGTCGCGGCCCCACCCTGACGCCGTCGCGGCCCCACCCTGCAGTCGCGGCCCTGCCGCCCTCCCGTAGCGGCCCTGCCGCCCTACTGTCGCGGCCCTGCCTGGAGCCGTCGTGGCCCTGCCAGCCGCCGCCGCGGCCCTTCCTACGGCCACTGTTGCGGCCCTGCCTACAGCCGCTGTTGCGGCCCTGCCTCGTTGCGGCCCTGCCTGACGCGGCCCTGACCTACCGGCGCTCCTCGGCCCTGCCCTCCCAGTTGAGGCCCTACCCCGATCCCGCCCTGGTAAGCGCACCGCCGCGCCCGCGCCGCCCTACCGAGCCGCGCCGCCCTGCCAAGTCGCGCTGCTCTTGCTGCTGCTGCTACTCCTGCTACAGCTACTGCTACTGCTGCTACTACTACTGCTACTGCTACTGCTTCTGTTGTCATGGCTACCCCTAATGTACTTTCCTTCGATGCTGAGGGTCGGGCAATTGATTTCGAGGTCTGGGTCGATGATCTGCAGCTGTTTCTGCTGTGCGATAGCAAGGACGGAGTCTCGCTTTTTGATCTTACGTCTGGCACCTCTACTGCACCTGCTGCTGATGCTGACAGTACTGTTCGCTCGCAGTGGACCACGCGCGATGCTGTTGCCCGTCTTGCTATTCGTAGTCACCTGCCGTCTGCTGAGCACGCACACTTTAGCCAGTACAAGACTGCTAGGACTCTGTACGACGCTGTTGTTGCGCGCTACTCCTCCCCTGCCACTACTGCCCTTAGCCGCCTCATGCTGCCGTACCTGTTCCCTGACCTAACCGCTTTTGCCACAGTCGCTGACCTCATTACGCACCTCCGCACTAGTGACACCCGCTACCGCGCTGCGCTTCCTGCCGAGTTCTGCGCCGCGAACCCCCCCCCTATGTACATCACTCTCTACTACCTCGTCACCCGGCTCCCTGACTCCCTTCGCTTGGTCAAGGACCACTTCCTTTCCCTTTGCCCCACCACACTCATCGTTGACCTCCTCGAGGAGCGCCTCCTAGCAGCTGAGAAGAGCATAGTCGCTATAGGAGCCTCTCGTGGTGACCCTCATGCCCATTTCTTTGAGGGGTGCTCCCCCGTTCCCCTCTTGCCTTCTGTTGCCTCTGCTGCTGCTGTCGACCTCGTTGGAACCGAGTCGGTCGGCGCTGCGTCTGCTCCTAGTGGGAGGCGCCGCAGCGGAAGGAGCAAGGGGGGCAAGGGTGCTGGAGGAGACAGCGGGGGCGGCGGTGGTGGCGGTGGAGGCAGCGGAGGGGGTGGGGGTGGAGGTGAGGGTGGTGGCGGGGGTGGGGGCTTCGGTGGCGGCAGTGGAGGTGGAGGCGGCGGAGGAAGCGGCAGTGGGGGTGGTGTTGGCAGTAGCGGCGGCGGCGGTGGGGGTGGCGGCGGCGGTGGTGCTGGTCGAGGTGGCGCTGTGCAGCTGGGAGGCTTTGGCGGTGGGCAGCGCCAGCAGCAGCAGCGCCCTCGTGAGACCCTGTCGCCCCAGCAGCTTCGTGAGTGGTACGCTGGGCGTGGGAGGTCTGGGGGTGCTGGTCCCTGCGCTTACGTTCTCCGCACCGGCAACCGCAGAGGAGAGACGTGTGGAGGACCGCACGCCACACTGCGCTTCTTTGGCCGCCTGACTGACGCTTGGCGTACGCAGTTTCCCGACTCCTCTGAGATCCCTCGCTGGGGTGATCTGCTTAAGTCGGGGGTTGCTATCTTTGATCTTGATTATGATGCTATCCTTGCTGCCATGTATGCTGTGTCTATTAGTGCTGAGGGTGACTGTTACCTGTGTGTTCCGCCCGACCCGGGCATTGAGGCTGCTGCTCTAGGTGCTAGTGTCTGCTGCTCCAGGTGCTGGTGAGTCTGCTGCCCCAGGTACTGGTGAGTCTGCTCTCTCTGGTACTGCGCCTGCTGCGGCCTTGCACACCTTCACGCTTGACTCAGGTGCTTCCCGCTCCTTCTTTCGCGACTGCACCACACTCACGCTGCTCAGTCGGCCGGTTGCAGTCTCTTTGGCTGACCCCTCTGGGGGTCCGGTCCTTGCGCACTCCTCCACGCTCCTGCCGTGTCCGGCGGTCCCGTCTGGCTCTCTGTCGGGCCTCCACCTCCCCTCGTTCTCCACGAACTTGGTGAGTGGAGCTGACCTTCAGGACGCCTGGGTTGACCAGTTCACTCCTGGAGGTCAGCGGGTGACCCACTGTTCGTGTACTCGGACGGGCCGGCACCTGGCCACGTTCACTCGTCAGCCTGGGTCGAGCCTGTACACCCTGACTACCATGTCTCCTCCGGTTGCTGAGTCTGGTCAGGTAGCCGCGTCGGGTCAGGTGTTTGCTGCAGCGTCCCGGTCTGGTCCTGAGTCTGCCCCCTGCTCGTGTCGCCTCCTGTCTCACCAGACTCTAATCTGGCACCACCGCCTTGGTCACCCCTCCCTGCCTCGTCTCCAAGGCATGGCCTCCCGTGTCCTTATCACTGGTCTTCCCCAGTCTCTCCCTCCCCCCCCCCCGGGGCCTGCCCCTACCTGCGTTCCTTGCGCCGAGGGGTGGCAGCGCGCCGCCCCTCACTCCTCCGAGTTTCCTCCCACGGAGGCTCCCTTGCAGACTCTTGACATGGACGTGTGGGGCCCAGCCTGCCTCCGTGGACAGGGTCACGAGCGCTACTTTCTGCTGGTCGTTGACGACTACTCGCGTTACACCACAGTCTTCCCCTTGCGCCGCAAGGGTGAGGTCACTAAGGTGCTGATCGACTGGATCCACGCTGCCCGTCGTCAGCTCAGCAAGAGTTTCGGCTCGGACTTTCCTGTTCTGTGTCTGCACTCCGACAGAGGTGGAGAGTTTTCCTCCGACCTTCTACAGGCCTTCTGTCGTGCGGAGGGCATCCGCCAGACGTTCACGCTTCCGGCCTCTCCACAGCAAAATGCGATTGCTGAGCGCCGCATTGGCATGGTCATGGACGTCGCTCGTACGTCCATGATCCATGTGGCTGCTCCCCATTTTCTGTGGCCGTTCGCGGTTCAGTACGCGGCGCATCAGATCAACCTCCAGCCCCGGGTCTCCGTGCCAGAGACCACACCTACTCTGCGGTGGACGGGGAAGGTTGGCGATGCGTCTGCGTTCCGTGTTTGGGGATCTCGAGCTTTTGTCCGCGACTTGTCTGCGGAGAAGCTGTCATCCCGTGCTGTTCCCTGCGTCTTCCTTGGCTTCCCCCCTGACGCGCCTGGTTGGCAGTTTTATCACCCCACCTCGCGCCGTGTTTTGTCCTCTCAGGACGTCACGTTTGACGAGTCGGTTCCTTACTACCGTCTCTTCCCCTACCGCACTGCCCACCTCCCCCCCCCCCGCCGCTCTTCCTCACGCCAGGTCCTCCCCCGGTAGACCCCCTCCCCCCTCAGGGTCCTGCCCCCTCAGGTGTGTCCCAGGTAGACGCGGTCGAGCCTGTCGAGGTAGCTGTTGACTCTGGTGCTGCTAGGGGTGCTGAGCCTGCGGTTGCCGGGTCTGGGGGTGCTGAGCTTGAGCGTGCGGAGCCTGGGGGTGCTGAGTTTGGGGGTGCTGAGCCTGGGGGTGCTGAGTCTGGGGGTGCTGAGCCTGGGGGTGTGGAGTCTGGGGGTGCGGAGCCTGAGGGTGCTGAGCCTGCGCGTGTGGAGTCTGGAGGTGCTGCGCCTGGAGGTCCTTCAGGTGCTTCGTCCCGGCGGGAGCCACTCTCTCCACAGCAGATGCGCGAGTGGTTTGCTCGCCGCTGGAGCC